GGGGTCACCACCACATTGAGAACCACTGCTTTATAGGGTTGGAATCCGCTCAATGGCAATGAATTTGTCCCTTGTTCCTTTACCTTTCCATTTAAGTTTTGGAATCAGTTTGTCAGTCTCTTCAGAAAATATCCTTCTGAGATTTTGTTGAAAACTTCGTTGAATCTATAAATCCATTTGGTAGACATGACAGTTTAACAGCATAGAGTCGCCCATTCCATGTACACTGTATGGGTCTCCATTTATTTAGGCCTTTTTATTTATATGTTTCAAACGCTTTGCTCATGAAACTTGTATTCTATTATCTTGCTCGGCTCATTTATCAATTCTAGAGCTTTATTTTTGTAGATTCTATAGGATTTTCCATATAGACAATCATTTCATGGGTGAATAAAATATTCTTGTTTCTTTCCAATTGGAATGCCTTTTATTTCTTCTATTTGCCTTATTGAATTTGATAGACCTTTTAGTGTGGTGTCGAGCAGGAGCGATGAGAATGGACAGGACCCTTGCTGATGTTAGAGGGAAGCATCAGTGTTTGGGCCAGTCATCATGATGTTAGCTATATGTTTTTCACAGATGTATTTTAACTTGTTAAAGAAGTTCTCTTCTATAATTAATTTCCTCAGAGGTGATTCTTCCCCCCAACACTTTTTCCCCATCTATTGATGTGATATCATGTGTGGCCAGTTAAAAAGGTGAATTAATTACATTACTTTTTAGGATAAGGTTTCGTTGTGTTATTTTTTCGGGTTTTGATGTGGTTTTTTAATACATTGCTGAAAGGCTGGTGGTTCAAACTCAACCAGTAGTTCCACGGGAGAAAGACCTGGTAGGATTACAGCTAAAAAACAAACAAACAAACCTTACAGAGCGTTTCTCCTTTATTATATTGGCTTGTTATGACTTGGAATCAACTTCAACAGTACCTTACAACAACAAATGTTATATTTCCAATTATAGTCTATGTGAAATTATTAAAAGGTAGCTGAATCTTTGTGGACTAGATTTATTGATTGGTTCCCACAGTGTGAGTGTGTCCTCAAATGGGGCATCCAGACAACTCTTGTTGGTTTCAGTGTGTGAAGATGGGCGTTAGATGGGTTTGTTCCTTATATAAGAAGTCCTGCTTTGGCCCTCTGCTCAAAGCCCTCCCTCAACTCAAGAACACTTTGTTCTAACAACATGGCATTCTGTGATGCTCACCCTCTTGACGTGATTGCTCCAGACAAAGCGGGTACATAAGCAAATGTGGTGAAGAAAGTTGATGGCTCCCAGCTATCAAAAGACAGAGTGTCTGGGGTCTTAAAGGCTTGATGTTACAAAAGGAAAGCAACAAAACCCACATGGAAGAAGCACACCAGCCTGTGTGATTTTGAGGTGTGGATGGGGTCAGGCAACAGGCATCAGAAGACACAAACGAAACAAAACATATTGTTGAGAAGGAGAGTCGAACAGAGACCCTAAACCCATCTGTAGAAAACAGGACATCCCCTCACAGAAGGGTCACAAGGAAGGGATGAGTCAACCAGGGTGCAGTATAGCATCTATGAAACACAATATTTCTTTGGTTCTTTGAGGCTTCCTCAACCCCCCACCCCTACTATCATGACCCCAGTCCTGCCTTTCAGTTCTGGCTAGACCAGAGCATGTACACTGGTACAGATAAGAGCTCATGACACATGGAATCCAGGTCAGATAAATCCCTCAGGAACAGAGATGGGAATAGTAATACCAGGAGGGAAGGGCATAAATGGGGGGGGGGTTGGAAAGGGAAACTGATTGCAATGATGGACACATAACCTCCCCTGTCCCAGGGGATGAACAACAAAAATATGGGTAAAGGGAGACAGTGGATGGTGTAAGATATGAAAATAACAATGTATAATTATCAAGTGTTCATGGGGGTGGTGGGGGGAAGAGGAGCTGATAGGAAGGGCTAAAATAGAAAGTAAATGTGTAGAAAATGAAGGTGTTAGATATGACAATAACAATTATAATTATCAAGGGTTCATGGGGCAGGGAAGAGGAGCTGGTAGGAAAGGCTCAAATAGAAAGTAAATGTTTAGAAAATGATGATGATAACATGTACAAATATGCTTGATATAGTTGATGTATAGATTGTTATACGAGCTGTAAGAGTCCCCAATAAAATGATCTTAAAAAAAAAAAGTCCTTGAGGTTCACTGAGGTGAGTATTGGGCGGTTAATCGCAAGGTTTCACTTCACACTTAGCAGCTGCTCTGTGGGGGCTGCTCCTGTACAGATGTACAGCTTCTGAAACCCTGGAAACATTTCCTCTCTGCCCCATAGGGTCTCCATGAGTCAGAATTGACTTGCCAGTGGGGGGGGCTTGTGCTTCTTTGTTTAACTGAAAGTCTTCAGACTTATTTTAAGATTTTTTTTTATTGACAAAATAGGCTTTCAAAAGGCCCCTAAGATGAGGTGTGAGCATTTATTTTTTTCTTTGAAAAGTATAGTAATAGAGTTGGAATGTATTAATTTAATTCAGCATGCTTATTATAATAGCACAGAGTGTAGAATTACAAACATAATTTGAGGTGGGATGGAAAGGATGTGGGGTGGGATATTTGGTGAGATGGGAGCCTGGAATAGGGGAACATGTCCTTCCGGGACAGATATGACACTCCTAAGGAATGGTGTTTGAGACGGAGAAGAAGGCAAGGCACTATCCAGTGGAAACTCCCTTTTTCTTGATGAAATGATTTCATCTTGCCATGAAAACCTTCCTCCCTGTCTGACTGCCCTGTCATGTGATTTCAGGTGGCGAGTATAGTGAAGATGATATAAATGAATTAGTGAAGGAAGATGAAGTGGATTGTGAAGAACAGGCACAGGAAACCAAAGGGACAAAGAGAAAGGCTGCGGGCATTCCGTCCAGGTGAGGCTGCCCCAGGCCCCTAGAGGTCAGGGGCTGTTGTCATAACCCTTCTAGTGCTAGGGTCAGCTGGATCATGGATTTCAGGTGGACAGAAGTCTTGTCTTTTTCTCTTTGACGGAAACATTTGGTGATATCTTAGATACATTCTTGGTCTCTGGCAAGCTTTAAAAATTCTTGAGCTTTAGAAACAACTTTTTCATAGGTAATATGTTCATGTGGAAAGGATCAGAAAGCTTAGTCATTAGAAAACTGTGTACCCATCATTAGCCTTTGCTGCTTTTCCTCAAAGGAGCTGTGCCACCCAGTTCTCCTGAGCATGTGCAAGCACATGTTTCCCCTCCCTTCCTCTTAAATAGGCCTTATTTTAGGTTAGGTTTACAGAAGTATTGTGCACAAATTCCGGAGCAGAGAGTTCCCATAAATGTCTTCCCTTGCACATCATTTCTCCTCTTTTTAAAATTGTTGTAAAAATATATACGTAAAACAGCTTTTGCCAGCCCAGCATTTTTCACATTGCGTAATCATCGCCAGTAATCACTTGCAAATTTTCCATCACCATAAACATAATCACACCACTCCCTAAACAACAGTTAAAGCCATCAATATCTGGCATCCCTGTGGTACATTGTAACTGATAACACAAGATTTTATATATTATTCTTAAGTAATGGCCTTAGTTTATACTTTTTTTGTGTTGTGCGTTATATGGCTACCCTCTTTTCAAAATACATATTCTTTGTATATGTCTTTATGTACCGTAGAGCTATAAGCCAGATTTGTAAGAATAGAATCACTTGATTCAGCTTTTAACAGTTATACTTTTAAAAATATATAATTAGCAGATTGCCCTCCGTAAATGTAGTATTTATTTACACTCGCACCAAAATGGTATGAAAATCCTAATGCTCATTTACCTCAGATAAAGACGTCCTCCAAAGAAGTCTGCCTCTCTTTGATTGGTGTTATGTCCTCTTGGGCACTGAAGCAAAAAGCAGACTATAGTTTTTCAAAAGGTGAAAAAAGATTTTAGGTTTGAAATAATTCTCCACTAGTGAAAGTCATCTTCTTAGGAGTCTTCAACATGGTTGCTTTTCCCATTGTTCTTCTGTATTTCAGCTTTCAAGTCTTCGCAAAGTTAAAGAAACCGTGCTTGCTTTTTCTTTGTTTCTGAGAATTTTAGGGAGAAACAGTGCAAATAAAATTGCAGTTCATAAAAAACAACAGCACATGTTCTATAAATAGGATGGCTTTAAAAAGAAAAATCTGATTGATTTTTCTAGGTAAATCAATTCTGAGAGGTGATTTGAGTGTTCTTGGGGAAAGTAACCTGGTCCTGGATTAGAATTTGAACACTGTACTTTTGATTCCAGGTGTTAGAAGATTCAGAATTGAAGGTTATTCTGATTCTAGGTGTTTAGAAAACATGCTAACTGTAAGGGCCCTCTTCTCTTTCTCCTCCAAAAAAAAAATCTCAGCTTGCTCCTTCCCCATGTGTATCAGTTATAGCCCCAGATTTAAAAGTTTTCTAGTCTTGCAAGATTATGCTTGGAATTGAGGACGGAACAATAAATCATTTTAGATTCTCTATCTGTTCTTTCTCTTATGACTGCTGCTGATCAGGAAGAGAAAACAGGGGGGCCTGTCCTTAGAAGGCGAGGAAGAGCTGGATGCCGAAGCAGAATCAGGAGGAAGCAGCAGTGATGAGGAAGATGAAGGTGCAGAACAGGAAAAGGGCATTGGGTCAGAGGATGCAAGAAAAAAGGAGGAGGATGAACTCTGGGCCAGCTTCCTCAATGATGTGGGACCCAAATCAAAAGTGCCCCCAAGTACACAAGTTAAGGTAAGTGAAGAGATTACTGAGTTCTCTCCCCACAAACAGCATTCCCTCGTAAATAACACATATACCCATGTAACTGGTAGAAGTGACCAAATTATGTAGAAAACAATTAGACATACTGAGCACAACTCCTAACATTTCCAAAAATGGAAGTCCGCTTCTTTCAGTCATCCAAAAATGTTACTCTTCTTCATATTTGTGTAATGAAACTAAGTCATGGTCAAGAAGTTGTGGATCCAGTTTGGTAGGTCATTGAAAAATAGACAGTTAACACTGTGTGTGTTTTGGGACGGTTTGCAGCCAAGCCTGAATGCTGAGGTTCCTTATAGCCCATCTGCACCCTGGAGATAAGCAGAGGCTGCATGTGGGGCCGCGTAGCCTGGGCACAGACTGATCCCACGCAGGGTGGGGCCTTTCCTTACATGTGCACAGGTCCCACGGGACCCCAGGCAGACAGTACAAGCAAGGGATGCACTACTCGGTGCCAATTGCTCTCACGCTTGCCCTGAGGGAAATTCAGCTGGCCCATCTGAGTGGCCTCTGGCCTGAGGCAAGCCATCTTGGCAAGCACTGTTTCTGAGGTAGACAAAGTGATTTCTTCCTGCCTTGCAGAGAGCAGTTTATAGAGCAGGGACCGTATCCTGCCAGGAGAGAAGTGCTTTAGAAACTCAAGTGCAGGCTGTTGAGGGTCAACAGCTGAGAACCAGATCTCCACATGAAGAGGCACCATGAGAAAGACTTGCCATTAAATCTGTGGACAGAAAAAAAAGTGAAATTGAAGTAATGAGCATGGAAATATTAGTATATAGCAAGCCTGTGGAAATACTGCATGGGTGGGGTTTCCTGGTATGAGAAACTTATAATGTAGATGTTGCTTGCATTAAAATACAGCAATAAGATCACTACTTCTTTAGAAATACCCTGTTTCCCAGATAGATTTTTTTTAGTATGTCCTGAGATTTGAAGCTTAAAACTGAAGCCAGACTCAGTGCCTCTTGTTAGTAATTTTCCTTTGTAAGCCAAAACACTCATGGCCACTGTAGTATTAAATTAAAAATGGCGTGGATGGAGGGTGGGGGGCCATCCCCCACCCGCTGATACTCCTATTACTACTACTCGGATTCAGTAATACTACTTCTGGGTTCAGTAATGCACAATTGTACAGTTGAGATATATAAGTATTATATTAGAGTCATCGAGAGCATGAGAGATATCACAATAATACAGTCAGACACGTTACATGGCAACATTGCTCACCTCAGCCCAGCTTGGTGGTCCATGTGGAGAGAGGGGGAAGGGAAGGAGGGAAAGGGAACAAGGGAGAGAGGACTGGAGAGGAGAGGGGGCGGAGAGAGTCAGAGAGGTCCGAGTCCGAGAGCTCTATATTGCTGACCCATGCCTGTATACCTTTTGGGGACATGCCAGCCCACTAATTACAGGTAGAGACATAGGTCACAGGGAGGGGTTACACTATAGGGTACCCAGTAATGAGAGGGTGGTCTTTGGGTCTCCATAGGAACATTATCAGTAGGGTGCAAACTCCACCTATAGGAGCCTGTCCATTGTCTCCAGAGGCAGGGAGCAGGCCCACCCCTGTGGTGGGATGAGACAGCAGTCTGGCAGCAAGTATCTGACTTCACCCCACAGGCCACTGAGTTGATTCTGACTCACAGCACGCTATAGGACAGAATAGAACTGCCCCTTTAGGTTTCCAAGGCTGTTTATGGGAACAGAAAGCCTCATCTTTGTTTCAGTCGTCTGCTAGGTTTGAACTACTGTCCTTGCGGTTAACAGCCCAACACGTAACTTAAGTAGGTAGAAAAAAGAAATCTTTCCAAGCAAATGAATTTCCAGTGTGTCTTTACCTGTTTATAGATACAACATTTAACTGCTTATAGATACAACATGCACAGTGTATTTGGGTAGTGCTTTTAGGTTTTATCCTTTGGTGAAACTGATAACATTTCTCGCTTTTTCATAGCAAGGAGAGGAGATTGAAGAGACAAGTTCCAGTAAGTTGTTGGTCAAAGCAGAAGAGATGGAGAAACCAAAAGAAACAGAAAAGGTCACAATCACCAAGGTGTTTGACTTTGCTGGTGAAGAAGTCAGGTAAGGCGCTCCTTTAAAAACGAGCCTCATTGTGAATGGTGTGAGAAACGTCTACCTTCTTTCCAACTCGCGTGAACTTCAGGCAAATGATTGCTCCGTGAATTATCAGGGAATATGAGGACGGTCTTTTCAAATGTGGCCGTGTAGTTTCTGGATATCAGGAAGTGGCCTGTTTAACAGAAGCAAGAGAGCCAAGAGTTGGGCCTGAGTGCTCAAATCTTAGGAAACATTGAGTCCTTTGCCATAATGAAGTTGTCAAAGACAACATTCTACATCTTAACTTTAGTGAATAGCAGTCATTTAAGGTGTGACTATTAGTTTCTCCATGTCCAAAAGAACTTTAGCATCTAGGACCTTGAGACCAGATGGTGCCCTGCAACCACTGACCACTCTGGAAAGGATCACAGTAAGAGGTCCTGGATTCAGTGGGGAAAGAATGTGGAACAAAACCTACCGGATTTGCTTGTTGGCTGGAGAACGAGTGGAACTTTGAGACCATGGCTTAGTCATGGTCATTCCCCTTTCAGGTCTTAAACCTTGCCTCAGTTTTCAGCTAACAACAGACAGACTTATATGGTGAACAGTAACACCAGGGACATGTGCACTCCTTAGAACATAAGGGGTCATAGGGGTAGCATTTGCCCAGGGACAAGCTCAGAAGGAAAGGGGTAGGAAAGGAGGTGAGATAGAAATGGTAAAGCCAAGGAGGAAGCCTGCTGTTACATTGTGGAGATTGTAATCATTGTCCCAAAAGAAACTGACTTGTAAAATGGAAAACCATTTGTAAACTTTCACCCAAATCACAATTAAAAGGGAAGAATTTCGTCTGCTTCCTTTATGGTTTTGGTTGAGGCATTTCTCCCTCGAGTACATTTCTTTAACCGAAGTGTGAGTCCAGTGAGATCTCTGAAATCGGGAAAATTTGGAAGTTTTAGGCAAGGTAAATTGGTTACAATGTCATTTCCTTACTTTAATATTATATTTAAGTGAATTCATGAGATTTGTTAGCTATAATTCAGAGCAGCAGTAGGGAAGGAACTACTAGGAAAATTTTGCATTGCATGTGACTTGACAGTATTTGAACTGGTCTATAGTCTGTTGGAGGCAGTGAGTCAGATCATGTCTTCAATATTGTGACTGTCAACTTGTGGAACACATTTTAAAATGCACCTTCTGTACCCAACGTGTTTTGTATCAGGAACTTCATTTTATAGCCCATACTTGTAGGTATTGATTGTATTCACATTTCCCCCAGTTATTCCAGTAACTCAAAAGTCACTACTATTGAGTCGATGTCGACTCATAGCAACAGTCCCCACCCCCTTGGGTTTCCAAGACCGTTTATGGAAGTTGAGAGCCCAGTCTTTCTCCCGAGGAGCAGCTGGTGGTTTCGAACTGCTGACCATGTGGATTGCAGCTCAACATGTAACCACTGCGCCACCAGGCACCTTAATTATTCCAATAGTACTCTTTATACCTGTTTCTTACTTAGGCCAAGATCCTATCAAAGATTGTACACTGTGCTTATTTAATCTGGTTGTCATATGCTGTTGAGTCACAACTCACAGTGACCCTATTGACAGAGTAGAACTGCCATAAAAGGTTTCCTAGTGTGAAACTTTTTTGGAAGCAGTTTGCCAGGTCATTTCTCCTGAGGGGTAGTGTGGGTGCAAACTGCCAACCTTTGTGTTAGCAGTTGAGCGCCTAGCCATTGTGCCATCAGGTCTCCTTTTAATCTTGTTGTTAGTATTGTCAAGTCACTTCCGACTTCACAGTCAACAACCAAACACTGCCTGGTCCTGCACCATTGTCAACAAATTGTTTTTATGTGTGAGCCCATTATTACATCCATTTTGTTAGGCCATCTTGTTGAAGGTCTTCCTCTTTTTGCTGATCCCGTTACTAAGCATGATAACCTTCTCCCCAGGCTGCTCTCTCCTGATAACACGTCCAAAGTACATGAGATGAAGTCTTTTTAGTCTCCTAGGATTTAGAATTTTTTCTATTAGGCATTTACCATCCTGACCTTTTTAAAGAATCCAGGCCAGTTGTGTTGCAAAATGCCCTCAATTTGGTTCATTGTCTCCTGACTAGCTTCAGATTAGTCATTTAGACTACGATGCTACTTGGTGATGATGTCATGTCTTTCTCAATGCTTTACCTCAGGGTACCTGGTATTGGTGGCGATAAGTTTGATCACATGGCAGGAACTGTCAGAATTCTCCATTGCAAAGGTACCCTTTCTCTTAGTAATTAGTAGTTTGTGGTATCCATTCAGTCATTTCCAGTCATGTAAATTAGCTGTTTTATCACCAGAAGTCATACCTGGAAACAGTTGTTGTCCAACAGAGGGCAGCAGAACCCTGATGGTAAACTTCAGTGCAGAAGAAGTCCTTTAAGTATACTATTAGGAATGTGTGCTTTAGACGGCTAGTGGCTTTCTTGGCTTGGCTTTTTCCTTACATTCCATATAGGACATCCAAGGAAGCTTTATTTGCAACTTTAGCAGTGGTCCTACATAATAAGAAAAATAGGAAATTATTTGTTGCTGTGAGAAGTTATTGCAGCAGTGAAGGATTATATGGGCAAAATAGTGAGTGATGTAGGTAGGGAGCATCAAAAGTAGATGGTCACAGGGTCACTGTATCAAAAAAGAATTGGTTGACATTCAACTATTTCAGGAGGATGCATATATTGAAGGGAGAAGTCTAACCAGCACTGAAAGTATTGGTGAAAAACAAGGCTCTCGGAATTGACAGAATACCAAATTAAATGATTCAGTAGGTGGATATAGTGTTGAAAATACTCACTTTTCTATGCCAAGAAATTTGCCAAGACAGCCACCTGGCCATCCAACTGGAAGAGATTCATACATGTGCCATTCCAAAGAAGGTGAACCAACAGAATGCGGAAGTTACTGAACAATATTATTACTAACATATACAAGTAAAGTTTTAGTGAAGATAATTTAACAATGGTTACAGTACTACATCAAACCGCAAATTGCCAGAAATTCAAGCAGGATTCAGAAGAGGGCATGAACAAGGGATCCCGTTGCTGTTGTCAGGTGGACCTTGACTGGAAGCAAAGAATGCCCAAAATGTGTTTACCTATGTTCTGTTGACTGTGAAGGTGGTTCAACTCTGTGGACAATAACAAATTATGGATAACATTGCTAAGAAATCAGAATTCCAGGACACTTACTGTGCTCATGTGTAACCTATACTGAGGCCAAGAGGCATCTGTTTGAACAATTGATTTAAAATCATAGAAGGTGTGTGTGTTAGAGTTGCCTTCTTTTTAACAGTACTTACTGAATCTGTATGCTGAGCATGTATCCCGAGAAAGTGGTCTGTATGAAGAAGATCAGGACATCAGCGTTGGAGAAAGACTCATTAACAGCCTGTGAAATACAGCTAATTCAACTTTGCTGAAGGTGAAGAGGACATGAAGCACATACTGATGAAGATCAAAGACTCCAGTGTGCATTACACCTCAGCGTAAAACAAAGATTTCTACAACTGGACCAAGAAACAATACCGTGATAAACAGAAAAGATTGAAGTTGTTAAGGATTTCGTTTTACTTGGATCCACAATCAGTGCCCATGGAAGCAGCAGTCAGGAAATCAAATGATGTACTGTACTGCATTGGACAAATCTCTTGTAAAAGATCTCCTTAAAGTGCTACAAAGCAAAGATGTCATTTTGAAGGTGCATGGTAAAGAAGATTCGTGAGAAAGGGAGACCCCCTGACAAGCCATGACCCAGTAGTTGCAGGGATGTGTGCAAACGGAACGACTGAGGATGACACACGACAGAGCAGCGTCTCCTCGTTCTGTTGTTGAAGGGTGCTTTGAGGCGGAACGGACCTGGCAGCATCTAGCAACAGCACTGGGAAGTCATTACATTCTGTGGACTTGTTTATAGCTACGAGCAAGTTGCCTGCTAATTGCTTTTGAATTTTCTGAACCCCAGTGGATGGTTTAAATGCTGGGCCAAGAGTCCGCTGTTTCCAGGTTCTTTTTCCAGACGATGACAGCCCCGTGTCTCTCAAGACAACAACAGAGAGATCCAACAACAGAGACGTGGAAGCCCTTCATTCATCCATACATGTTCCTAGTGTCACATGCATATATGCTGATTTTTTTTTTT